TTGTGTATTTTAGACTTATTTCCCTTTATTTCAACGCGTTCAAGATGCGTTTTACCGAAAAGATGTTACGGATTTTTTATCGGCGTGACATAAATTTATTCGGTGGCGTGAACCATTTTACTGCGGCGGCGCGCCGGCTCAATTTCATTGGCGGCAGCGGCGTATGAAAATCGTCGGCAGCGGCGGCGCACAGATCTAATTTCAAGAGGCTGTCGAGCTAAGAACCCCCTAACGATAGACTGAGAGAAGGATCTGGAAGTTTATTTTACTTCTTACTGAAAGCTTCTTTTTCTAGACGCTACTTTCTGGAAGATTTTCTAAGGTGATTCCTTGTAGAGTTCACAAACGACCACCACGTAGGCTATACATGATATTTGTGAACTTAAGGTTTCAATGTGGTTACGAGAATAAAAATCTCACAGCGAAATATCTTAAGAAGATTCTTCTAGCAGTTTCACCTATACAGCAAAAAAATGCACTTCAACCATATCGAAAATCTAATGTAATATTTATGGCCACAAAAATAAATAAATGCAGTAAAAGTAGCGTAATGTCAGTTCATGCACTGTATTAGTGATAATTTTGTCCTTTTTGGCAAGTAATATTATTATACCATATTTTCATCACAATTGAAGTGCATCCGGTTTGATGTGATATTAATGTTTTGCTGTGTAGAAAATTATTCTAGAAGCATCTATAGAGACTTCTTGAAGCTTCGCTCTGGAAGCTTCATTGTGAGAGGACGACTAGGGCATAATTGTTAATAGCAATACCTTTCACGGCAAAGTCACGGGTTCAAATCTCATTCACAAGTCACTAACGACCGAAGAGTGTTAAGGTGACTATAAAAATTTACTTCATTCCTTGATTTATAATCGGTTAAGCGTGGTCTTTTAAAACTCGATTTATTTTCTAATTTTTATGCCAACGCGAATTCGACGGAGGAATTAAAAATTATGATTTTATTTTAAAATTACAACAAGCTACATGGGGTGCTAGGAGTATTTAATTTAAATTTGATTTGTTTTTTTGTTTTTTTTTTTACTTTGATGATACTCATGAAACTGCAAGGTGTTGGAAAATAAGGAAATTGAAAGTGCGTTTTTTAATATCTCTGATTCAACAGGAGGGCACCAGCGGCATTTGATTTAATTCAATATTTTTTTTTTTACTTTGATGACATGCATGCTTCTGAATGCTGTCAGAATGTTTCATGAAATTAGAATAGTTAGTTTACAACTGGGGCGCTAGGAGTCTTTATTTTTATGTTATTTCATACTTTGATTATACCAATGCAACTGGAAGGCGTTTGTTATGTTTGATGAAATTGAAATACTTGATTCTGGTGCAACAGGGGTTTCTGATGCACTAGAGTTCTTTAATTGAATTTAATTTGAAAAAAAATTATTTGATGATATACATGCTTCTGGAAGGTGTTTTGATTTTTTCATTAAGTTTGAATGGTTTGCATTATGAGACGCTAAGAGTATTTATTTTTATTTCTTTTTAATGATACTAATGCAAATTGAAGGCGTTTGTGATGTTTGAAGAAATTTGAATTTTTGCTTTTAATTTCCTTGACGGTCGCAGGGGTCTTTAGTTGAATTTGATTTTTTTTTAATTTCTATTTTCTGAAACTGGAATTGTTGGTTTGTAACAGGGGGCGCTGGAGGTCTTTAATTGAATTTGATATTTTTTATACTTTGGTGGTGATACTGATGCAACTGGAAAGCATGTATAATTGTTGATTAAATTGGAAATGTTGGTTTTAATGTTCCTGGGGGGGGGGGGGGGGGGGCACTAGGGGTATTCATTTTAAGATGAAGATTTATTTATTTTATTTTAATTTGTTATTTCCTGTAATTGTAATTAATGATTTTTAACAGGGGCGCTAGTAGTCTTTATTGAAACCATTTATGTAACTGAAAGGCGTTTGTAATGTTTGATGAAATTGGAACTGCTTGGTTTAATGTAACTAAAGCAGCAGGGGGCGCGAGGGGTCTGTAATTGATTTTGTTTTTTTTTGTTTCCTGAATTTTGGTTGTTGGTTTGTAACAGAGGGCGCTAGGGGTGTTTATTGTAATATTATTTCATACTTTTATGACACTTAACCAATTGGAAGACTTTTGTAATGCATGATTAAATTGTGATTGTTGGATTTAATGTCATCGAAACTACAAAAGGTGATAGGGGTCTGTAAAAGTATTAATTTTTTTTTTTTAATTTGATGATATGCATGCTTCTGGAGAGCATTTGAAAACTGAGGAAATTAGATGCGTGGTTTCAAATTTCTCTGATGCAACAGAGGAGCGCTAGGGGTATTTAATTGAATTTCATATTTTTTTTATATTTGGAATTATATAATGCAATACAACTAATACAACTGGAAAGCGTTTGCAATGTTATACAAATTTATGTATATGTAGTAAAAATGTAATACTAAAATTAAGCAACTTTAACAATTCAGAATAACATTGCTAGTGAAAGCATGTACAGTATGCAAAAAAAGTTTATCCACCCCCTACCAATCTACATTTTTTTTTCTGGTGAAAATCAGTTTAATTTTAAAAGTGTTCCTCCATGAATTATCAATTTATGTTTATTTATCACATTGCCATTGAAAATACGGCGTTTATATTCAATTGTTTCAATTGTGTTGAAATTGTTCAATGAAAATCGTGAAAATCTGGAAAGCTGAAGGAAAATGTAAGTAAGAAAACATTAACTCTTCAAAATTATTGGCGCCCTCAAAGCTATGAAGCGCCCCCTTTTGGTAGACAGCCCCCCCCCCCCCCCCAAATGAAGAAGGCTGCGCACGCCAGTGTACGCACTTAGTTTTGTTTTCGTCAGCTCGGCAATAAATTTTACTGAGATATCAATAAACATGACGTTTGTTTGCTGGGATTCGGCAAATCATTTTCCAAGACTCAGCAACCAAACGTCATTTTTTCCGAGATTCGATAAGTAAAATTAAGTGTGTACATTTACTGTTTTCTCGCCTGGAATGCAGATTGATCAAATATCTAGTTTCCTGCTTTGAAGTCAAATTTTTTTTTTTGAAATTTTCGTAGTCCTATGTGAAGGCTACTTTGGTGTTCCTAGATACAACATGCTTTTCCAAATTTTGCAAATCATAATTATGTTTTCAACATAACCTTTGACAATCAATCAATTGATTCCAAAAAACATGCAAATGGTACATATGTAAATAGTATATCTTCCAGCGAAAATCATATTCGATCTTTCCTGTATTATAGACATTATCGATCAAACGCATCTTGCTAATTGGTAGCCAAATCTCTGTTGAGTTTGGTAAAATGTAAGCATTTTTCCGCCCCGCAGGATTTTATTGTTTTGGTGACACCTTCGCCATCTGGTGAGTACGGAGGTAATATTTTTTACTTATAATGTGCACAATGCGAAAGATGCGATTAAGATGTAGTTTGATCTATTTGAGAAGTTTTACGAGTTTCACTAGTGACGACCGTTACATGCAATGTGACGAAAATCCGCAAAGTAGTTTTGATGTTGGAGTTCACTTCAGTCTGCTGCTCGTTCTTGTCACATTGGCGTTCGGGGAAGTGACATTCGAGGTATTGTATATTTTAGTTTGATCTTTTTGAAATGCCAATAAAAATAGACACAAGCTTACATGAGCTGCAGTTCTAGTTATGAGTATTACCATAATTTTCCCAATAAGGGCTCTGCAACTTAGACAGAAAGTCAATCTGGTCATGATCATCATTAATTTACATGCAATTGAATCAAAATTTCCATGACCCATGCTCTTCTGCGAAACGAATTACGGAACAAAAAAAACCAAGTGCTAGATCCGATAGAAAGCCTCCAGTAAAAGGTATTGCCTAGGAAAAAATGCCGCGTCATCCCTGAAAAGAATGGGATGATCCCTGGCTGGTGCAGGGTAAAATTCCCCTCCAAAAGTAAAGTAAAGGGCGTGCAGCAGTCAATCGGCGCGACGTCGGCGGTAGGTGGGATCCAGGTATCGTTATTTTGCCCTGAATAATAAATGAGCCGGAGCTAAATCGGATAGTCTTTTTATCGCCTTTTATGAGGTGAATTCCTTTCCTTTCCTTCATCCGACCCGACCGAACCGGAGATGGGGAAATACGAAAAACATCGGTTGTCGGAAGGAACACATTTGCCGTAGGTCACAATGCTTCAACACGGTCGTCGAAGCCTGAGAGGCGAGGTGGTGGTGGGTTGTAAGGGCGCTTAAGTAAGGATGCAAGTTATGTGGAGAAGGGTTGTCCAAACGTCTGCCCCTAATTCCGTTCCCTCAATTTCGTCGAGCGTCTCCATTCGCCTAGAAGGCAAGGGGAGTAAATTTCCGAGAATGGGCCATCGTATTAAGAGCGGAGAGTGCTTACAAGGATTCCTGAAAAGGAAAGCTTGGCCCGTGATTAGATGGGAACGAATCAACATTTCAAATTATGACATCTGTTGTTGCGTCCGGTCGGAGGATCAAAACTTGGGATAACCGATGCGAAGGATGAAGGCTTTGTGTGAAAAGTTTTCCAATTTTAGTAAATCGCTTCTTTTGGTGAAAGAAGGACACAGAAAGGGTTGAGGTTGACTGGGTCGGCTATGATATCGAGGTTGGTTGGTAGCTTAGCTTGTTTCTGTTCTGAAAGCTTTTTTTTCTGCTGGGAACGTTATCGAAGCTTGGTACGCGTCATTGAACTCCGGTTTTGATAGAAGAAGTTAACTTCAATCGGAGATTATATTGAACGGAGCAGTGTTTGGGAAATAGATCGACCTTGAAGAATTGGGTCAGACTCACTTGGATGTTATGGGGCTTGAATTTTCTTTCCTGACCAAATTGATCACAATAACCGTATATTCTTGGAATCGATATTAATCAGAACTGAGTTCCAGTTCATCATCCACATACCCAGCTTTAGAAACGAATGACCTCTAACCGATTGCTTTTGCTTTCTCGTTCCATCTCTCCTCCCACTCTCAACACGGAAACATCGCAGGTCATGTGCAACAGTGGCGAACTGCGGGAAATTCCACTCACCCACATGCCGTTCACGGTGGAAACGCTGTCACTGCAGAAGAACATCTTTCTGGTAATTAAAAGCGACGCATTTGTAGGACTGAAAGCCCTACATAAACTGTCGCTCGATAGGAACAATATCACCACGATCAAACCGTTTGCCTTCCGGGGGCTTCCTCGGTTGCGACACCTCTCCATTCAGCACACCCCACTGGCAACGGTGGCATCGTTCGCGTTCGCCGGGCTGCAGAACGTATCGGAAATAACGCTGCAGCACAACAAGATTCTGCGAATCGAAGCCTACGCCTTTGCCGGCTCGGCCGGGATCCGGTGGCTCAATTTGGCTGACAATCCCACGATAGTGGTCGAGAAGAATGCATTCTCCAACCTGGTATCGGTGGAACGACTGGTGTTGCCATCGGGGATTCGGAACATTTCGCAGGATGCGTTCAGCGCACTGGATATGGTAAGTACTGCACGTAAGCGGGAGCTGGTTCGATTGAGCTACATCGTCGGTGTAGCTCGTTGCCATAGTTTGGAAGATAAATTTATTGTTGTTGAACTAAGAACTAGGGAGAAAGGTTTACCACTCTGTTCAATGGAATAAACCGACAGATGAGAAGTCCTAAGCTTGTACTAAGAACGTTCGCTAAATAAGCGGTTCTCAAAATTTCTTTGATAGCGTCCCACGCAAAATTTCTCAAATGTTGGCTGCTGTTGATCACCTATTCAAGGTACAGATTGGATGAGTAGTACGGTGAACCAATTTCATATTTCATGAAGTGCAATAGTCATCTGAAATTATGCACATTTGTAGTACAAATCTTGATGTTTTAAACACCTTTTATATTAATAAAATCCGTTCACGACAAAGACACGTTAATGCACACACTTAGAAATAACTACTTTTACACGTGACGGAATCCGTCTTTGACATAAATAATGAAACGTAAACAAACATGTCATGTAATATTAAGTGCTCCGAGACTGAAAAGTTCGTTGCTCGACGAAAAGTACGTTCAACTTTATGTCAAAATTGACGCTCGTATATGTCACTCTCAGAGCACCTAAATTTACATGATTTTTTTTTAAGTGAGCAGTTTGATTTTTTTTTATGGATACGTATGGTAAAAGATTGCTGGAAAACTGAATTTTAAGGGCTACGTATTGCCGTTGCGTAATCTTTTTATTAACAAAACGGTCAAGCGGCCGGTTTCGTCAGAGGACTTGATCAAGTCTGCCCAATCATCAATGCATCGAATTGGGCATGTCAGATCTGAACATCAATAGCCACAACCTGCAGAACTAGAACAGTCTGAACGCGATTGCGGCTGGCGGTTGTGGTGTGAGGACTGGAAGTGAAGTGTCAGACGGTCCGACTTCGGCTCTGCATCAATCTTGTGGGTTGATTGAGCATCCGTCCGGGAAACTACTGCAGGAGGGAAGTCTTGTGGTTATGAATTATTTCGATGACGCTAGAACATTTCAAACGTACTTTGACTATATGTTTAGTATTACTTCTGCGTGAAGTCAACGATTTTCATAGTTGAAGATGCTAATTTCAAATTAGCATCTTCAACTATTTCAAACGTGTTTTACGAAGACAGCTTCAGAGGGAACTTTAGGTACACTGACCCCATAATTATGGATGCTCAGCTAAACTCAATTATGGATCAGTCAGTCGAGCGTGTTAATCAAATGGAGGTGGTCCATAATTGTGAGGTTATCACCACTATAGTGTACCCAGATTCAACATCAATAAAATGTTGAGAGAAGTGCAGAGGGAAATTTAGGGTGGACTTCTCAGCATGTTCTAGATGATCATCAAGAAAATTCCAAGGAAAATTTGGGAAAGCTCCGGGAGGGCTAAAGATAAGTTCCGATAGCACTTTCTCTAACAGCTTTCGTAAAATTTTAAGGGAACTTCAGAAATATCCGAGAGGAATTCAGAGGTTCAGCGAAGCTCCGAGGGAACTGCTGAAAAATTCCAACAATTTCTGAGAAAACAACTGAAAACTTCCCAGCATTTCACGAGGAACTTCAAAGAAGTTTCCTTGGAACTGTCCTTAAGTTTCTTTCCAACTTTACACAAGTTCCCTAAGAAACAATTCAAGCTGAACAATAAGAACAGAAGCTGATTATTGGTTGATTTAAGGTGTACAAAGCTGATTAAGCGCAGACTGAATATAAAGTTGATTAGTAGCGCATGAAGCTAATTGTATCCCCATAATTCAACCTCAATAAGTTAGCTGATCTAATGATTGAACAAGCCTTATTTAAGCTTAACACTACTCCACAAATCAGCAATGCACTACAAATATTTTGATTGCCTGATTTGTTAACTGTAGCCAGTGTTACTCGTTGCATTTCCGGCTTTTTAGTTCTTCTAAATTCACTGCCTACCTTTCTAATACCAAGCAGCGGCAGCAGTAGAGACAAGGTAGAGAAGCATTTTAGGAATAGCCTGGAGCATAATATAACTGAATTATGGTACTAAATCGAAATAAATCGCGCACTTGTGTCCACATTGTGTTAACTACTCTTGAAAATGAGAGGAATGCATAGGACTCTTCCGGTTGCTGTTATTCAACTTAAATTTGACGTGTTTCAAGTTAATGATCATACCTTTTGCCATACATATGATTAAATGATCCCGTAGGTATGATTGATGCATGTGAATCAGCGACTGCCAGTTCGAATCCCGAAATGCAAAGGTAATTTTAATATTTATAATATCAATATAAATATCTAAATCCAATTAGTCAGCACCTTGTTGCAGTCCCTTACAAATATATAAGATATGAAGCGGTCTTCCATTATGTTTATTTTTCTAAATAAAACTAGAATGCTGAACAAGGGTTGGAAAAGACTGTAATTTAATGCATTAAAAAGCTTAAAATTGATATAGCTGCTAAGCTTTCGGCTGATTAAAATCACCAGATTAAGATGTTTAAAAGCTGAACAAAGGTTAACGTGGTCTATGTACAACAATTATTCAAACTACCCAGGTAACAATTTGATGATTAACAAGTATTGCTTAAACGATTTTAATTAAGCCTTAGTTTGAATAATTATTGTACATAGACCACGTTAACCTTTGTTCAGCTTTTAAACATCTAAATCTGGTGATTTTAATCAGCCGAAAGCTTTACAGCTATATCAATTATAAGCTTTTTAAGGCATTAAGTAACAGTCTTTTCCAACTCTTGTTCAGCCTTCTACCGTATGCGTGATAATGTTTGCATCATTGAGCAATTTCAAAATTTAAAAAATTCTCAAAAATTTCGTTTTTGAGTTTTTTTTTTTATTTATTCAAAGGGGGGATGTTTCTCAGAGTCTTAAACTATGTTAATCATCGATCGAGTTTCCACTTGCTGCAATTACGGCCTCCACACGCTTCCGGAATGCACGGCAGGTTCTAATAATGTAGTCTGGATCCATTTCTCTACAGGTACGGGTCAATGTTTGTCTGAAACTTGCTGTACTCGGGTGGCGTTTAGAACAGGCCTTGGCCTTCATTACGCGCCATATTGAGTAATCCAGCGGATTAAGATCGGGGCTGGATGGCGGCCACATATCCTTCGCCCAGAACGGAAGATGTTCCTGCAACCACTTCTGAGTGCGGTTCGAGGTGTGGCACGGAGCCCCATCTTGTTGAAATACAACATTGGGCTTCGGACCGTACTGATCCACGGAAGAACATACTTACTTAAAATCCCGATGTAGACCTCCGTGTTGACCTTGTCGCCTTCTGGAATGAACACCGGGTCCATTTTTTTTGCCATCGGAAGCCACCAATCCAAACACCATAACGCTTGCAGGATGCTTGGTCAGATACACGTTATTGTGCTCGTCAGTTCTGGAATTTGATACGGGATCGATGGTAAACATGCTCTCGTCGGTGAACAGGGTTACCGGAAGAAAAGCAAGGCATTGTATGCACAGGTGAAACGGGAACCTTATTTTTACGATGGTGCAAACATTATCATGCATACGGTAGTTTCGCAAAGGAGTTCAGAAAACTTCCGATGAGAAGTTCTGAGAATTTCCCAGGATATGTTCAGATAGCTTCTGAAGAGAAGTTCGGAGAAATTACGAGGAAAAGTTCTAACAACTTCCGATAAAAAATGCAGAGAAATTCCGACGAGAATTTCAAAGAATTTTCAAGGAGAGGTTCAGAGAACTTTTGACGAGTGGTTCAGAGATCTGTCGAGGAGAAGTTCAGCAAACTTTCAAAGGGCAGTTCCGAGAGGAAGTTCAGAGGAGAAGTTCAGAGAACTTCCGAAGAGAATCACAGAGAAGGTCTTTGAACATCTAGTTGGAAGTTCCCTGAACCTTTCCTAGCAAGTTCTTTGAATTTTTTATCGGAAGTTCTCTGAACATCTCGTCCAAGTTCTAAGGACTTCTCGTCGGAACATGCCGGAAGATCGGTGAACTTGTCAGAAGTTCCGTGAACTTCCGAGGAGAAGTTCAAAAAACATCCAACTATAAATTCATAGAACTTTGTCACTAGAAGTTCAGCAAACTTCCGACAAGAACTTTAGAGACCGACGAGATCGATAGCTTCAGAGATTTTCCGACGAGAAATTCAGAGAACTTTCGACTAGAAGTTTAGCAAATTAACAACGAAAAGATTCGAGAACTTGTGAGGATCTGTTCAGAGAGCTTCCAACGAGACGAGACTTTTGACAAAAAAATCCGATTAGTTCAAAGAGGAGAAGATCAGAGAACTTCCGACTAGAAGTTCAGGTAACATCCAACAAGAAGTTAAGAGATCTTACAAGGATATTTTCCGAGAATTTCCTAGGAGAAGCTGAAATTCCATGAAATTTTCTGATATTCTGTGAACCCTGCAATTTCATGAACTGCTGAAAATTGTCATAAGCCTCTCGGAAGTTTTGTTTGCTTGTCGGAATTTCCGAGAACTTGTAGGAAAATCAGAGAGCTTGTTGGAAGGTCCATGAAATTACCAGAAGCGCAAAAGTGCAGAGAACTTTCGATAAGAAATTCAGAGAAGTTCAGAGAACGTCTGACGAAAAGCTCTAAGCAATTCCAACGAAAAATTCAGGAAACTTCCAGGAAGATGTTAAGAGAACATCCGACAAGATTTCAGAGAAATTCCGATCCGATGAGAAGTTCTAAGAATTTCCCAGGATATGTTCCGATAGCTTCTGAAGAGAAGTTCTGAGGAAAAGTTCTAACAACTTCCGATAAAAAGTGCAGAGAACTTTCGACGAAAATTTTAAAGAATTTTCCTGGAGAGTTTCAGAGAACTTTTGACGAGTGGTTCAGAGATCTGTCGAGGAGAAGTTCAGCAAACTTCCAAATGGCAGTTCCGAGAGGAATTTCAGAGAACTTCCTGAAAGAATCTCAGGGAAGGTCTCTGGACATCTAGTTGGAAGTTCTCTGAACCTTTCCTAGGAAGTTCTATGAACATCTCGTCACAAGTTCTTAGGACTTCTCGTC